TTACATTGCAACAAGTGACACGGGATTTAAATCAATTGAGTGATTCCTACATAACAAGCGGTATGATGTATATGGAAATTGGTTTTTATGGTACAAGTATTCCATTTGGAGCTCGTCATTCTCATTTATGGATTACGTTTAAAGAATCTTTACCAGTGAAAGGAAATTACAATTATGACCAGTCACCAAGCCCAGCCATTATCGCTGCCATTACTTTTGGTAGTGCGGTGCTTGCAATCATTATGGTAACAGTTTTGTGTTATTTATGCCGGCGGCAGAAGGACATTGATGATCCGCTTTTGGCCAACGCTTTAGAGAAACAGAGTCAAATGATGATGAAAAAGAAGGATTGAAAAAAAAATAATTCTTTTTCCTCATCTTCTTCTTCTTTAAAGTGTTTTTAAAATTGCATGTTTATTCTATTTGTGTTTATATATATAATAGTGCACACACTCTTTTCTGTGTGTCTTATCATCCTTAAAAGAAAAAACAACTTTTGTTTGCTTTTGTCTAAATGCAATGTAAAAAAAAAGCCCATGATGTAAGCATCTTTTCGTTCCCCTCCCTCCACATATACACACATACATACTTACAGATATCTTACGAATCCTTTAGTCTGCGAAAAAGAAACTGGAACAACGAAGCAGTAATTTATAAATAAATAAATAATTATAATATACATGCATATATATGACGGAGTATCCTTGTCCGGTGCAATTTGCGTGACTGACCCTTTACTTTTCCATTGCGTTTTCTTTTTTTTTTTTTTGTGTGTGTGTGTGGTTGTTTGTTTATTGAACATTTTTACGTGTAATTCTCCTCCTCCCCATTTTTTTTTCTTGTATTTTTTTCTGCCTATTCATTGTTCTTAAACCTCGAACGGCGGAGGGAGAAGAAGAGGAGGAGGGGGATTGGGAGGGTGCGGGGTTCTGTTGGTGCCTCTCGCGCGGCGTGCGGTGCATATAATTTTCTCTCTGTTGTTCCGTGTCTCTGACGATGGCACGCATGCACACAAAAGGCGGTGCCGGGAATATGTCACGCATAATCACCGGTGGCGTTCTACCCCATTACATTGCACCACCTCATACGTAGGTGCATGCACACACACACACACACGCACACACGCACAGACACATGCTGCTGTGTGGGGCTGTTTCTTATTATTATCATTTATTTATTTATTACTTTTGATGAACGTTTTATTATTATTATTTTAGAGTGCACCAAAAGAAAAAAAAAAACTATTCTGGGAAAGCGAGGGTGAAAAAAAGGGGAGTCACAGGGTTTATAGGGCAAATTGCGTTGCGCAGTTATTAGCAATGTCACATGCGAATTCCACAGTAGTAGCGATAATTCTTATTTTGGGGCTTTTGTTGCTTGCCGGCACGTCGGATGGGCAACGGATGTCGTTACCGCGAGAAACATATCCGCGTCCTGCGAAGGACGGGGTCAATCCCGCCGCGATGTTTCTCCGCTGGGCGCAACTTATAAATTCCTTCGTGGAGGCGCTTCTTAACGCAGCGGGGCCGTCGACCGTCGCTGATAAATTAAAACGCAACGCACCGACAGATATGAAGGGTTCAGAGCTAAGGGCGATTTCGATCTCGCCCAACTATTTAAAAGCACCCCAGAATGGAGAGGTGAAGAGGGCCGTCGACCCCGACGACGGATTGAGGTATTTACTGCCGCCAAAAAGAACATTACCGCCTCACTCGTGCTGGTCTGGCTACCTGGCGGTTCC